AATACGCATATACAGTAATGAAAACAATGATATTACAACTTTTGCATCAAATAGTAGCCTAACTAGTAAATATGTTTTGTTATTTTAAATATACACAAACATTATTATACGAATAAAAAACTAGCTAGTCACTACGCTACACTAACATAAAACATTACTGCAAAATTATATTATAATACAACTTCATTTAATTGTTCAAATCACGGTGGGAACTAACTGCAGTTGTAAAAACGTATAAGCGCCTATGTGTGTAGCGGCCGCGGGACCGCCTACAGTTGTGACGTCACACAAGTAGCTGCACGGCCTGTATATCTAGTGCGGCCTTGTGCTAGCATACAATCGTTCTTTCACTCTATCAGCTGATGTGAGTGTAAATTTGTTGCCTGTAGGTTGTTCATTGTCTGTAGGTTGAGATCAGTAAATTTTGAGCAGTTGATCTCCCAATGCTTTGTAGCCATAGGGTAATTTGTTTTTTGTATTTGACCAGTGGTCCAAAATAGTTTTCGCGTAAGTTGTAGGGCAGATTGTTGTAGATAGTGTGAGCAACATAGTAGCAATTTGTTGTAGAGTAAGTTCTATTTAGTCTCGGCAAATAAATTCCTCCACCTAGTGCATGTCTGGTTCTGTATTCGTGTGTTACTCTTTCAAAAATGTCATTCGAGTGTTTGAATATGTAAATAGTCATGGTTCGAATAAACAATTGTCTGATGTCAAGAACGTTCATTTCATTGAAGAGAGCATCCGAAGGGTAGCGCCGATTCCTGCCTAAGGCTGCTTTTATTATCGCTTTTTGGGTGATAATTAATGGCTTTAAAATATAACCATATGCACAGCCCCAGGCTATTATTCCTCCGTCAAGTAGGGACTGCACGTAAGCAAAATATGCAATTCTGATTTCTTCAAACTCCAAAATCTGCTGTAACTGGTTAAAAGCATAGATATATTTTCTTAGTTTATTATTTAGATATGATACGTGATCTGCCCATGAAAGTTTATAATCAATAATTACGCCAAGGTATTTATATTTTTGCACTCTATCTATCACTGGACAGTCACAAGCCGGATCAAAATTTGGACAAGGATGAATTTTTAACTCATTGATGAGTGTGTCACCACGATGACTAAAAGCGATTGGCATGAATTTAGTTTTATCTACATTGAGTGTCAAAACATTTTGATCAAACCATTTTTTAATTTTTGAAATACCTCTTTCTGCGAGGTTGAAAACTGTTTCCCAGTCTTTACCTTCAAATAATACTAGAGTGTCATCTGCGAAGAGATAAAACTTCCCTTCAATGTCGATTTTAACTAGATTATTTATATATATTAGAAATAATAAAGGACCAAGGGTACTTCCTTGAACTACACCATAGTCTACTTCAGCTAAATTGCTCTGAACTCCATTTATGACTACAAATTGTTTTCTATCTAAAAAATATGATTTAAACCATGCTAATGAAACGTTTTTTATTCCAATTAACTCCATTTTCTTTAATAGTATTGATCTGTCGACAGAGTCGAAGGCTTTAGCTAAATCAAAAAATACCAGCACGACCTTGTTTCCTTTATTGACAGCTAAATTAATATCTTTGTTAACTTCAAACAAGGCGTCAGAGATATTCTTCGATTTCCTAAATCCAAATTGACGTGAAGTTAAAATGTTATAATGATTAAGGTAATTAGTTAACTGGTCTTTAATTATTTTTTCCAAAACCTTGGTAAATACACTCAGCAATGAGATCGGCCTAAAGTTCGAAGTCTTAGAGCAGTCTCCTGACTTGAATAGAGGAACAACCTTAGCGATTTTGTAGGCGTCGGGGTAAACTCCCCTCCGGATACTCATGTTAGTGATGTGTAAAAGTGGCTGTTTTATTGAATCCCAGTTGTCCTTGAGTAAATCAGCTGATACACAATCATACCCTGGAGCTGAGCCTCCTCTCAGTCTGGTGACGTAGCCGTACAGTTCATGTTCAGTAACAGTGTGCAGTGCGAGGACAGAGTCAACAGCATAGTCAGAGTCGTGTACCACAGGTGGACCACTCGAATCAATTCTAGCTGCCATGTTTGAACCAACTTGGGTAAAATAGGCGTTGAATTCGTTGGCCACCAGCGGTCTCATATCGTCGTCAGTTTTTGCGTATGGTTTGTTTAATGTGAATTGAGAAAGTGGGAAAATGTCATGTTTAGTGCTTCTACCCGCCAATTCATTTAAAACCCCCCAAAACTTTTTCGGATTATCTTTATACCCCAAAATTTTTTCCCTATAATATTTATTTTTGGTTTCCCTAATATTTTTATTTAGTTCATTTTTTAATCTTTTGAAATTATCAATCAAAACTGTATTAAAAGGTTGTTTTTTAATCTGTTTACTAAGTTTATCTCTTTCTCTAATTTTAATAACCAGGTCATGTGTGATCCATGGCTTTAATTTCCTGAGTTTAGAGTTTGGTTTTTTAATAGTTTTTGTTGACATGCTAACAAGATCTTGAATTTTTGAAATCATGATATTTGAACATGTATTTGTGTCATTTGCCTGTACAATGTCTGTCCAGTCGCATTCTTTTATGTGTGTACTCAGTTCCGTTTTGTCTATGTAGGTGTGAAGTTCCTGTAATGTATGTTCTGTTTTGTTGGAGAAGTTAATCTGTAGACAAACACTGTAATGGTCAGTTATCTCAGTCTTCGCAACAGCAGTTCGTAGTGCAGTAAAGTCGTGGTGACTTATAAAAATATGGTCAATGGATGTCTTACTATCGCCTACCTCTCTAGTCGGTACATTTATACCATTCATAAAACCATATTCATACAAGACATCCAAATAACGCTCTGTCTTGTTGTCAGTTTCCAGCAGATTCGCATTGATGTCACCTATTAAAAAATAGGTTTTTTGATTGTTTTTGTTTTCGTAGTATTTTTCGAGAGCGTAAGTAAAATTGTCCAAGTCACTGTCGTGAGTCCTGTACACAGATAGCAGATTACACCGCTTATCTTGATAAACAAAGTCTAAGGTCAACCCGTACACGTCGCCCAGCTCCAGTTCATTACATTCACACACATTCACTCTCTCACTCACATACATCAAAACCCCATCATTTTGATTTTTCCCTTTAGTAGTGCGAAACATTTTATACCCCTCTAAATGCATCCCCTCCCCAACACCCCCATACCACGTTTCCCCCAGCGCAATAATATCAAACTTTAAAACTACCGATTGAAGCAAGATAAGAAGTAACTCAAAGTTTTTATTGTAACTTCGAATATTCATGTAGAAAATGTTTAAAAAGCTTTTATCTTTGCTAAAAGCTAATCCTATGTCATTTAAGTATTCTATTGTTGTACACTCAATGTGCCTGTAGCTGTCGCTAAAGACAAACGTTGTGCTAGGGCGATTTATGCCAAACTATTCCGCCTAGATCGCAGCTCTAGTACTGGCAGTGGCAGCGCTCAACTCTCCCCCTCCGCCGTCTGTTCCCCTCAACAACCCCTCCCCACCACGCCGGTCGCCGAACCATCGATGTATATAACTAATGAATACAAAAACCTAACGCGCAGATAGCTGCTGCTATTGTTTGCGTTATCTCCTTATCTGAATTCTGAGATGTCTTGTCTTCTTGTGTCGCCTTACTAACGCTAGTCGCTGGTATCCCGGGCTCAGGTCATGGGCTGGGGGAAGTCTGTGATTCATCTTCAACTTAATTAATTGTAACATAAAATAATAATTCAAATTACAACCTTAGTATTAACATAAGAATATATGCACAATATAATGTGTCTTACATTCACACTGATTTTTAAAACCTGTTAGAATATCAGTATGATGTATTTTGTGTAATGTAGGCTAATTTAACATTATATTTATAGTCAAAATATTTTTATGTACGATTTTATAATTTGGTATAAGTGTACTGTATATAAAAACCAACCACATGCCTCATTAGGAGGCACCTTCAAAATTATTTTGCCATACTACATTAAACTGTAAGATCCTTTTGCAACTACGAAAATAAAATACCCCCGCCGCAGCAAACCTGCAGACTAAGCGAATTTCCATTTGACTGATTGGATTTACACTGAAATGTCTACTTAAAAATATAACATTTATTCTTGATTTAAATAGAATTAGTTTAACAAGTACTTAGATTTGCTGCATCAGGGAGGGTAAAACTGTTTTTTTTTTAAATGTGAATAGTTTCGTAAGAAATAAAAACATTTTCCAAATTTGATCAAAATATGTTCACAAGCAAACTACAACAGTTTACTTATTCTCCATAAGAATAACATGGGAATTTTAAATTTACAATTTTTTGGAATTTTCTCCGTAACAATTAGGCGCATAATAACGCTTCAATATACTAAGTTATTTGTTTTTTTAAGCTCTACAAAATGGTTTGGAAAGAAATTGCTAAATTTTATGTTTTTTGGGTAAAAAATGGGAAAAACCTATTTTTACCCCATAAAACCCCCCGTAAACCCCTGTTCCCATGGTCCGATCATGCTGGATCGCGAACTCGTTCGAATAAACGTACGTTTACACGTTTGTACCAAATTTCATCAAAATCGGATCATTTTTGCTCGAGTTATCCTGCTGACGGACACATATATATATATATATAAATATATAAATATATAAATATATATATATATATATATATGAATTTGAACGGATGGTGTTTTTGGCCTCTAGGGACCTCAAAACGAAAAAAAAAATCGGTCCCGCGTCCAGGTCTTACCATGAGTACTACGGTAATAGCTTATTCCCTATATGGGAAATTCGCTAATAAAGTCAAAATAGAAGTAAAATAGCACATAAGGATTATTACAAATTTAATTTTCATTGTAATACGTACTGTACTCTATTTGGGGCTTGATTGAAACACACACACACACACACAAAAATAAGTAACATTTAAATATAATAAAGGTACTGTAAATAAGTGAGAAAACATAAACTGTGAATGCTTTGATTTGTCTATAACTGTACAATTTCTTTATTTATTTAGCTATAGTGAACCAAGGAGTTTCAAACGTTTCGGTCTCCCAATCTCAAGGTCTGTGTCTTGAACAACTTTTTTCCCTCTTTTAGGTCGGTTTTTCAATCGTTGCTGGGCCTCAATGATGGAGGGGGGATTCCTTATCCTCAAATTTCTAACTAGGCGACTGTCGATGATTTCCGGCAAAATGCATTCCTGGTAGAACTGTACTAATTTAGGTAGTACTTTTGCCCAGAATTCCTCATCAATAACAATCCTCTCAACAAACAACTCTCCTTTTCTGGTGAAAACTACGAAGTCACACCACTTTCTTTTGGCAATGTTCAACTGACCTTGAATTTGAAAATAGTAGTCGTGACTTTTTTTTAGTCGAAGCTTTCCGCTGACAAGTTCAATACATGTGGTTTTGTTACTTTTCAAGTGGTCTTCGATAGAAGTGTCCTTAATTGAATATAGACATTTGACTTCTATCAGGCCTTCGCTTTCCACTAATCCATCTGGGCTAGCCCCTAAAAATGGGTAAGTTTCATCTATGAATAGGCCACACCGGTCGACCTTTAGTCCAGTTCTTTCTTCGTACATTTGAACAACTCGCTCTTCATTGTCTCGGCCTGTAACAATGGGTAAATCTTAGGGATTTGACTAGTAGCATTATCGGTCATCGTCAACATTATACAACTTTTTTGGTTTTTATCATTAATATGAGTAATATTAGTATGTATCAGTGATTGAATATACTTGGCATATAACGTACTGACATACAATTTTAATATCATGCCATAATTTATTTCTTTGTCGTCTTATGGTATGTCTATGTATATACAAATAAACTTATTTAGTTTTTGAAAACTCGTTAAAGCTCAAAGTTCTATAGTATTGCGTGAATTTATAAAAATTATAAATTGGTTGTTATCTTTAAATTTAAATATGGAATATGTGATTATTTGTAAAATAATATTTCTGTTTGTGTAAAAGTAGAGAATGGACAATGGAATGGATTTGCAATGGAAGTGGAATGGTGTAATGTTGGTTATTTGTTGAACATTGTTTTGTAATTGTTATTTATTAGTTATACAGGAGATGCTACGGAATTAATGTATTCATACCGTATGCGACAGCGTCAGTGTTTAGTTGTCTTTGTATGAGGATCGATTTAACCATGTTGTGGCAATCTGTATGGGGTTTCCTTTTTGCCACAGATCCAAACCGGGAAGCTGTGAGCCGGTTTATCCTCTTCTCTCTCCAAAGCGGATTTGTGTGTTGGCCTATGGTGGAGCGTTCAATATTATTATTTCCAGAATGAACGTCTTTCCGAAGTTCGTCAAGGAAGGTTGAGCATTTTGAGACCATCTCAGACTCCTCGATGTCGGGGTTTACAGCCAAAGGTCCATACTCGCTGTCATACTCACCACCACCTGAAGCAACAACCGCAATATTATGTCAGAAGGAGAACAACTAAAGTTTCTTCTGACAAACATTGTTTAAAATATCAGGGAACAATTTTAAATTCACTTTTATTTCGTCCTACTAGAAAAAACCACACTACTGCAAAAATTACGGGTCAATCTTTATTGTAACTTGTGGGCTTTCCCCATTAAAAATCATAAAATAAAAATAAAATCGTATGTTTGATTAGAAGTTTAAGTGATTTTTATTCATGTTTAGTATTTTTTCGTAGTTACAGTCCTAGCTATAATAGTACTACCCCAATTGCTGTGAAAATTAGAGTTCTATATTTGTTGCAGCTTTTGTGATTTTAACCAAAAATATACCATAAATTCTCCCACCGCTTTCCCATCATAAGGGGTTTTAGCAAGGCAATGGGAGAAAGTATGTGTCAGATTGCTGATATAGTTTAACTTTACAAATATACCGTAAGTGTGTGTGTATAATCACACCTAAAGACTTTATCATGTACAAACAATGATATCAGTACCTTATAAGAAAATAACTTTGTGCTTTTTATCAACATACCTTGACGGCGTTTTCGTTTAGGTGGGTTTTTTTCCAGGTACAAGCGTCTCCGGTAGTTTCTCTTTTCTCTCATCAGTATTTTCCTCTTGAAGTAAGATCCTGGACTTCTAGATGAAAACTTCCTCCAGGGACTAAGGTGCCAGCTCGGCCCTGAAGAGTGTGCCAAGGCTGCACCCATACATCTCCGCTGGTAGGAACCACCTGTGGTTAGATTCAGTCTTTTGCCCCCAGTAAACTTTGCAACATACCCCATATACCGCTCGGCAAGATTGGTGGTTTCATTGAAAACAAGACTTTGACATTTGCTCGCAACATTACCAATGACGGTCCTTAATTTGTTTAGAAAATCATGATCTAGTTGCATTATTACATTTTCTTCCCCTGATTCCTTTCTTACGCAAAATTCTTCACATCGTTCATGGTTTCCAAACACATGGTCCAGTGAGTTTGTGATGGCCTGTCTAAGTTTTGGCACATTTGTCGTACTTGTACTGGATCCGCATGTTTTTATTGCGGTCCTGACCCCTTTTACAATCCGCTCAAGTCTTGTAATGGATTCGTTTGGAGCCGGCTTGCTTAGAAGTTGCCGAGATTGTAGAGGGTACTGCGTATTTTCGGCTACCTTGTGCAAATTGTCACTCAAAGCTCGTGTGACATGATTCGCGCATTCAATTTTTTGCACAAATCTTCCGTATTGGCATCCTTCTTGAATTCGAGCAAAAACGCTAGAATCACCGTCTCCAATGTAGTACTTGTATATGAGACCGTAGTCCTCTTCACTTCTCTTGAAACCTTCAACGATGACGCTGCTCTCCATACCCGTACTAGGACCGGTATAGTTTTTGTAACAGATATGATCTTGCCTCTTTTTCCTGGAGTTACTACATGTGAAGCAAAATTTGTTCTTTACTCCTAGGAACAGTATCTTTTTTGTTTCAGCCCCAATGATTATGTCCTGTAATGTAAGCATTCGATAATTATACATGTACAATATACAGTAGCAGTAAAAACTGGCGTGACCTGGGCAAAAAACAAGGCATATTAAAATGTTAAAAGTGTACGTTTTAAATTACCACGTTATTCTTATGTGGAATAAATTAAAAATTCTAGTTTACTTGTTTATGGATTAATAAAGTTTAAATTAAATTTGGATAATTTCTAATTTCATACTAAGAATAAATTGGTAAAGAAACGTAACATATTTTTACACAGAAGTGATCTTTTAATATGACATGTAATGTGAAAGTAGCATTAATAAATCAGAAACAACATTATAAAACAAAAAATAATCTCCTTAAACATGAACACAAACAGCCTTAAAGAATTGTTAACCAAAGAATTACTTATATTGCGACAGCAAAACCACCTTCAATGTAAACAAATGGCAAATCAATGAAATGGTGGCTTCTGCCGTGACCGGAAGGGTTGTGACAAATACGTACAACAACTGACCAGCTGATTTACAGCCAGTGCTGCCAACGTATTTCGCGCGCATACGACCTTGTCTGCAAGTTACGCGCTCACTATTTCGTGCCTTCAAGTTGCAAATCTGGAGTGAGACAATGTTAACATTGTCTCCCTGATGAGCGAATTGGCCACTTTGCTTTCACAAATCAGTGAGAGAACATGTACATTGTTAGGTAACTGTAGGAAAAATGACAAAAATGAAAAACAAATCCCCCAAAAATTACTCAAAATGGACATATACACTCAAACCCAAAACTCGAAAATGTTTAGGAAAACAATACTTTCTCCATATACTATGTATCCATACACTATCCATATACTATGTATCCATATACTATGGATAGAATATAAAAGTAAACAACACGGTATCAAACTTAAATGGAAAGTTAAATTACAGAGTTAAATTTTAGCTTACCACTCCACTTTTAGAGCTCATTCCATGGCCATAGGATCGTTTTGCCCATCCTCCATCTCCAATCACTGTGATATACGGCTTGCCTTGAAATATATTACCCTTTTCCAGTGCGATCTTTTTTTCTTCCTCAGCATTGCGTTGCATTTTGTGAACCAGAATAGTCTCCCACGCCTGCAATAATACATTCCCTTATAGATGAACTCATAACATACTCAAAAGATACTTAGTACTATATAGAGTTTTGCTGCAGTATGACGAAATAATGTTTAGATTCCGGCAAATGATAATTGCTTTAGGCTATCTGTAATATGAGTTTAGTACAAATTTATAGCTAGTATACTTACATCTCCAACCTTTTTTTCGTGGTGTATATATTTTTCCTGTGACATAACAGGAACGTCCAAAAGGCTGAAAAGTTCCTCTAATTGAGCGAAGCCGATTCCAATAGACATTGCTCCCCATACCAAAGCATCATTGACGTTATGTTTTTCATCAACAGGCAATGAGGTAACTACATAGGTCTTTTCACAGTTGTCACAGTAAAAACTCCAGGTGCAGAACAATCCACTTCTAATTTCCTTTTTCAGTTCATACTTCCCCATTGTACATTTCATAGGGTGGGAAGCGATAACTTGTAGTTGCCGAAAAATGTGGCCAACATCAACCATTCTCCTACCGCTCATTACATTTTCCCTTAGTTTTTTCAATTCTTCCGACGAATAAGGCTCCACAATGAGGGGTTGTAGTAGACTTGGCGGATCATCTTTGCTGCAGTCTGGTTCCGGGTCTGATTCAATATCATGTTCTAAGATATCTTCATTGTAATTCAAAATTGGTTGATTATCTTCAGTCCTATAGAACAATAAATTCAATTACTAGTTTATAATCGGTGTTCAAAAACACTAATACAAAGCTACTGCTATAGCCTCTTGTTTAATATCCCCTATTATTATTCTGACACTTTTACGCTTTTTATTATATTTAATTTATTTTTCATATTGTTAATAGCCTAATTGAAATATATGTTATAATTAGTTAATATACAGTATAGAATAATTAATTTTATACACCAATTTTATAGGTACGAATATTCTATGCCAATTACACATTTCAACGAAACATAAGAGAATAAAAGTTGTTGTGTAGCACCACAGTAATAATCATAAGTGTCATGATATTTAGTAAAAATAATATTTCCTAGAAAAAAATATTCTGGATTCACCCCCAGTTTTTCGACAGCGAAGGCTAGTGAATAAGCAATCAATTAGTGGTAACGTTAGTCAATTGTTGTACAAGTGCTAACCAGGTACGCCAGCCGCAACAGGCGAGCATTTGGTCCATTGTTGTATTTAGTGCTAAATAGTATATTACGTTACTAGTCCTGAAAATAAGTGTTTGCCGGACGAGTGTGGTCGTTCCCGTGCGAGACGAAGTCGAGTACGGGATAACCATACGAGTCCGGTACACACATTTTGGACGAGTTACGTACGATAGTTTACGCCATACTACTTAATTCGTACAAATCCTTATATATTTCCACCAACTAAAGGACTAAACATCACGAGTCATAACCTAAGAGAGGTTATGTTTTTGTTTATAACCAATCATTGCCACGCAAATGCAGTGTAATCAGCTGATTGGTGTCCAGTAAAACTCATTGCAGAACAGTATTACGCAATGAAACCCCATTTGAATAAGCTGGCGGGAAACAGCTGTTTTCTGGACTAAATCCTTGCGTGGGAAGTTCGTCAAAATAATGTAGTGTGGCGTAAATAATGTTGTGTGGCGTAATAGTATATTACGTTACTAGTCCTGAAAATAAGTGTTTACCGGACGAGTGTGGTCGTTCCCGTGCGAGACGAAGTCGAGTACGGGATTACCATACGAGTCCGGTACACACATTTTGGACGAGTTACGTACGATAGTTTACGCCATACTAATAAATCTGTACAAATTCTAATATATTTTCACCAACTAAAGGACTAAAAATCACTAGTCATAACCTCTAAGAGAGGTTATGTTTTTGTTTATAACCATTCATTGTCACCTAACTATAGTATAATCAGCTGATTGGTGTCCGGCAAAACTCATTGCAGCACAGTATTACGCAATGAAACCCCATTTGAATAAGCTGGCGGCAAACAGCTGTTTTCTGGACTAAATCCTTGCGTGGGAAGTTCGTCAAAATAATGTAGTGTGGCGTAAAAGTTATTGTTGTACATTTATTTGTAAATAAAAGCACTTTTCATTTCATTTCATTTTTTTCAATCAATTAGTGAGTAAACGTATTTGCCATGAGTGCGAATAAAAAACTGTATAATTCCCTACTATACGAAGGCAAATATTTATAATTATAGATTAAATAGACATTAATTATATGAAATTGGATCATACCTGGTCTCAAGGAGCAATCTGTCAAAAATGTCATCATTGGTGTCTTCTTGGATCGTAGTTGTGGCTTCTGTCTCTGCTACGGAGGTTGCAGTAGGCATGGAATTTCTAATATTAGCTAAATATCTCCTTGCACCTATTGAGCGTTTGTTTCGTTTATGTGGCCTCGGCTTTCTAGGCATTATTCTGGGTATACGGATAAAAAACGAGCTGTCCTAAGTAAAATAACTTACACAGTGTTACAGAGCTATAGAACTAAACACACAGTGAAAAAAGATTATGGTGTGTACCGCACGTGCCACGTGTGTGTGACAGTCACTCGTCACTGAGATGATGGAAAAGCGCGCGAAAACAAAAAGCAACATCTGCACTGCAGGTGTATGGTGGTGGTAGTGGGGGAATTCCGAGCGCGGACTGCGTAGCGGGTTAGTATCCCAAAAATACAGGGGTTAACTCTATTCACATGTACCACAATTTAAGAAAAACCGTTAATAATAAAAAAAAGATTTTTTGGGAACATTTTATAGAAGTTGTTTAAAAGAGATTGACGTGTTTATATTTTTCCTAAAGCAAACAGAGCTCAGATAAAAAATGTTTTTCAAAACCAAAATATATTTTTTTTACAATATGAAATTTGTATTATGCTCATGACTTTAAGCATATCTAACAGCGTAAGAAACATTTAACATATTTACAAAATACGAAACAATGATCCAGTAATTCCGGTCCGAAGTTCGCTATTTTTAACATCTAAAAACCACTAAAAACTGGTCAAAAAAATTTTTTTTTTAATTTTTTTGCCGTTTATTATTACACTTAAAGTAATATCTGACTTAATTTCAGTATCAAAACAAAAATTGTAAAAGCCCAAGCACAACCTTATGAAGTAAAAGTAAAATAATTGTATGCGAATTGTAGGAAAAAAAAGTATGAGATTTATTATTTTCCGAGAAAAACAAAACAAACAAAAACAACCCACTGTGCGGATCCTGCAGCCGCTACAATAACAAATTCTGTACTAAAGATGAATCATAATGAGAACTAAAACAATAATATTTCCCTCATTGCGAATCATAAAAAATCAATAACACTTGTAATTTTACATAAGCCTACAGTTAATAAGAATGAACAATAATTAAAACTAGATAACCTGTGAGAAAACCTTGTCATTTGTACCAGAAAGTGTGTTATAATAAAAAGGTTCATAAAAATTTTTTACTCTTATACGTAACGGTTCATACATCTTTGTTATAATAAATTAAAGATAAATAATTTTACTGATTAATGTGATGAGGAAAATTTAATTACTTTTGCAAAATTAACATGACTTATAAACTAACAACATTATAATAATTGAAACATTATAATAATTGAAACATTAATGTGTTTCACTTCAATTATGGATAACCAACACAATAAAAATAAAGTACATTTTCACAAAAAATAATACATCTTGAACATAGTAACTTTTTTATGACAATAGAACGTGAATTTTTGATTTATGTTTAAGATGATTGGTGATATTAAATTATTATCATATATATAGTATTATAAAGGTCTAGTCTGGTTTAAAGTAGTATTATTAAAACTGATAGGAAATATCCTGTTTCAGCAAATTATGGTGCTTCAAATATTATTTTATCATATAATGAACGTTATTACTCTTAATGGGAAAAAGTTTGCAATTTATGGTCAAATATTTTTACTTTAGCTTATTAAAATATGACATCAAGTTACTTGACAGCTCATGAAAGAATGATATTTGTTAATTTAAAATAATTTACCTAACCATGAAACACATTATAAAAATCTAAAGAGCAAATTAAAAATACCTATGTATCTTATAGGCTGAGTGCATTATTCAACCCATTAACTGCATAATGATTACGATGAAGCATTGTCCGTGTTGGAGCCGCTGTTGCCGCGCTGATTGACACCTCCGCTGAGCTGTCGCTGGGCCGTTGGTTGAGCCGTTGGTTGAGCCGTAGACTGAGCCGCTGGTTGAGCCGCTATCACCTTGACGTCCTCGGGGCTCCTCACACGTGCTGGTTTCCCATCTGCCGTCTTCCTCACCAGGATCTTGCCTTCTTTGACCCATGCATACGCTAGTTTCTTCTCCTTGACGAGCTTTTTGGCGCAGTTTAGAGTTTCTTTGGCATGGCCTGTGAGATGTTCGTTGATAAATATTGGTGTATCAGGAAAGCTCGGATGCACCATTTTAGCGGTTAGGTCGATTTCTTTAGCCGCAAGTAGCCACGTCATCCTGGAAGTTCTGCGGGTGAACTTTACGATGATATTAGGATGTTTCTGGCGGGTTGAAGGCACCCGATGCGCTATTGAAATGTCTTCATACTTCCAGGGCGTACCGATGGTGTTAGCAACTGCCTTTAGAACGGCATACACGTCTTCATTCTTGGTTAAAGGCACCCCTACGACCTCCAGGTTGTCAATCCGGCTGTACTGCTGTAAGTCTTGTAGCTGCTCCGTCACTGAGTCTACTTGTTTAGACAGGTCGTCGCAACGTGATTTGAGATCCACACATTCTTGTTTCAATAAGATGTTTTCTGATTTTAGGCCACTTAACGATGACGTAATTGTTTCTTGCCATGTATTTATTCGTTCATTGATTACGTCAAGTTTTTCACAAATCGAGTCATTAATTTTCCCTTCTAAACCAGAAAGTTTCTGATCAAGGGTGTCACTAAACTTGGCGTGTAAGCTGTTAATTGCTTTGAGGACAGTAGAATCTTCGGTATCACTTACACTTGACATTGATGCTGTCTCCTTATTAAACTTGCCACACTTGAACGGACGGTTACGGGTCTTCCTCTTCAGGTCAGGTCCCGCACACTGCACGTGCATCACGTCACTGCACTCCACGCACGATATTACGTCGGACGAGTTCTCGTTGCACTCAACGTTGCACTTACAACACTCCGTCATGTCCCAAATACGTTATTACAAATGTTGAATGTTACCGTACTAAAGGTACTGTATAATGGTAAGCAGCGAGGCACGCAGGACCGGGCGAGCGAGTGGGTTAACTGATAACGAGGTCCTTCCTCATCGACTGCTAGATAACGACTCAATGTCTACTTGCAGAACCCAAATGTGTTATATGTAAAGTTGATGTCTTCTTACAGTATCCGAAGTCAATGGTCTATCCGGTTCTAATAAATTAAATGTCTACTTGAAGTATCTAATGTCAATGGCACATTTGGTTCACGCAAATGAAATGTCTACTTGCAGTATTTAAAGTCGATGGTTCATCTGGTTCTCATAAATTACATGTCTACTTGCAGTATCTAAAGTCAATGGCACGTCTGGTTCAAGTTAATGGAATGTCTACTTGCAGTACCTATCCAAAGTCAATGATATATTTGGTTCACATAATTTGGAATCCCTATGTGCAGTATTCAAAGTAAATTGTACGTCTGGTTCACGTAAATGAAAAATGTCTACTTGTAACATCAAAAGCCAATGGTGCATAATCCTTATTGGTTATACATTTTGTAGCAAATAATGCTCAACGGTATCAATCCGATTGTTCTTCCCTTTTGTTCTCTATTTTGCAATGTGCTAGTTTAGATGATTTATTTGTAAACACATGTTACAACTTTTGTTTACCTTTTTGAACGGAGCGAAGCGAAGCGAGCGAAGCTCTTATACTACACTCCTGCTTTAGTTTTACAAATACTCCTCATGAACGGCTGAAGCGATCTGCATGAAATTTAGCACAGTTATAGTACCCAACCACGGGAAGGTATAAATCTGAAATGGAACAAATCGGACCACGGGGGTTTTCCCTATGTGAATTTAAACTTTTAGAAATTTAACATGGGCCTTATGGGTTAAGTGGATGCCATGACAGTATTTGCAAGATAACAATAAAAAGGTATTATTCCCCTAAAATGAAAGTCTCCTGCACAACTTCACGATACGCTCTTTCCAATGAGACCAAAATCATGTCAATCGGTTCAGTAGTTTCGGAGGAGTAATTGTCACAAAAATCCTGCTTGCGTATTAAATAAGTACTAGTGTCCCTCTTGCTCGAATTCGAGCAATTGCTAAGTATTACAGACGTTATTTTAAAACGAATAACATTCATAATTTCTGATGACTTTAAAAGATTCGACTCAAAGATTATGGAAATACTCAATACAGTATGTACATAACAGGTCGATATAATCAACATTTCTTGTAAATATCTTATCATTTTTCAAAAGATGATCTTGTTTTTTAGAGTTTTCTACAAATAGACTTACTCATAGCCGCATTAGGTTGTCTATAATAACGATTATAAACGAAAAAAAAATTATTTCTATTTCTACTCCTTGGTGGTGTTTTACGACTTTCCTATGTTTACATAGTTTGCAAATCGACTCTAGATATTTCATTTCAACAAAGTCAGTAAATGTTTGTAGTAAACTGTTAAATTAGCAAACTTATTGACTGTTTTCAATTCACATATTTTCTTTTTCTCACTTTTAATTTCTGACAACAGTTGGAGTTGCATAACAATGTCAACAAAACACACCCTACATGAGCATGGTGGTTTTTTGTGTTTATTACCATGTTAATCTTATGGAGAAATACGAAACTTTAAAGGGCTCCAGGGCCTCACTCTCTAATTATTTCCCTAAAAAGAAAGTTTCCTGCACAACTTCACGTTACGGTCTTTCCAATGACACCAAAAACATGTCAATCGGTTCAGTAGTTTCTGAGGAGTAATTGTCACAAAAAACCTGCTTGCGTATTAAATAAGTAATAGATATATGGATTTGCTTATGTTAAATTTATTATTTTAAGAGCAACCATCACTTAATTTGAAGACGATAATTAAATTATAAATAATAATTAGTTGATTTGGAATTAGGTAGCACGTGCCCATTCTACGTACGGGAATCTTAGTAGAAATTTCTTAAATTCAGAATAGGAGTTGGTTTCCATATTTAGTGTGCACTTTTCCAGATATGCTGGGAAAACTATTACTGTATAGGAATACATATAAACCTTCGCAAATACAATATCTGACAGTTTCAAGCCAAAACGAATGCTTCGCAATTAAATGTTACCCAATCTTGTTAGTCCATATTTTATA